AAGCGGCTTCATTGCTTCATTGCCTTTGAGTTTGGAACAGCGATAGCTTTCCTTACAGCCTTGGACTTTGGTTCTAGACGTAACGTTATACACCGCTGCGACAAGGTAAAGACGCCATCCGCGAGGTGGCATACCAACGTTGCAATGGCTGACCGGTACACTGGTATCAATTTTGGCACAATCTAGTCCAATTTCAAAACCATCATAGAAGAACTTTATTGCACGTACATGGTACAATGTGGCAACAACTATTGAACTATTGAAAACATACTTAGATATCCTAATTACTAAAACAATACGGGCTTTGATATGGTGTTACAATCGAGTGGGGCTAATCATGAATTTATGGAGTCCGAATCCGAAGTAGGTTTGATGTATAATATTTATAAATGTTTCTTCCAATATCGCCATGGCTCAGTGGTTATGAAAAAGTTAATCGTCACCTACAATTATGGCGCGCTCGGAACTCGCTGATCGGCTTCACCTAGTTATCGCCCGGTGCCTTCGGCAGCCACCGGTTCGAACCCGATTTCGGGTGATTTGGGCACCCGCCAGAGCTTGTCTTCACTCCAAAAAAACTCCTGGATCTACCGCCTATGCGCCAACCAACACAAAGGCAATAGTTTTGACGTAGAACTATTAGTTGCTGTGTTTTAGACGGTCTGGAATCCTCATGATTTAACGTAATTCGTAATCAGCTCTGAGAATTTAACGTAATTCGTAATCGGCGGCAAAAATTTGGCGTAATTCGTAAATAATAATTGCAGGCAGTACTGTCCGATTTTGCAGCGACCCCTTCTTACAAGGGACATCTCGAAGCGGACCGGACGCGGCGTGTCGACGTCTGAACTTTGATATTCTCAGCCGGGACCAGAGATCGCGCAGCAGGGAAGGGACGCACCTTCACCACTGCTCCCCCCGCCGGCGGTTCTGGGATAGGTTCTTCCACCATCTCCAGTGGCTCGTTGAAGGCCACAAGTTTCACACTGCGCCTCATCTTAACGCTTAGCTTGTCTTTTCCCTGTCTCTTTGTAGACTTCTGAACTCCGGGGGGCGTGGCGTAGGCGTCGGTGTCCTCCCAGACTGATCCAAGAACGGCAATATTCGTACAACTGACCTTCGGCGCCTAGCCAACCTTTGACTCACTATGGTAAACACACAATACTATATGCGTCTGCACGCCTTTGCGTTTCAGGCAGTCAAATCCACAAAGTCTTACTATTTAAACAGGGGGCGAGCCGGACCTGTCCGTCGGTGGGCATTTGTTACCTAGCTCAGCAAGGAGGTAAACTATTAACCATGTTAATATGCAAACAGTATACACAAGGGGCTATTTGTTTGCAGATATAGGCCGGACAAGACAAGAAATTGAATTTAATCACCCATTGCATGAACCTCGTTCATGATCACGTCACGTGATATTCAAATTTGACTTTGACTTTATTCAAATATTTCATTCAGACCACGTTCACCTAGCCTGGATCACCAGCTTACTAAATTGCGCCCCTAGCGACCCGCCCGACTGACGACCTGTTTATTAGCGTGAGATTGTGTAACACGGTAGGTTCAGAACAGACGGTACAAAAACAGAACAAAGTTCCGCTACTGTACCACAGAACTTGAGCTGCTAGAAGGCCCAAAGTCGACACTGACCTCGTCTGCTAAAGTCTACGGCAACACAAACAAACAAACAAACAAACAAACAAACAAACACACAAATACACAAATGTATATAGACTTACTTATGAACTTTCTTGGACTGGAACACCGAAGACAATACCTCATGTGAAGCTCCCCTTCACGCAGGTAAAAATAACCCCCTTTACAAGGTACTAGTATATATATAAGTGTTCAAAGCAGTAAAGGTCGCAGTTTCTTCTTCTGAAGTTTGCCGCTATGATTACTCGTACCGTAAATTGTACACAAATCTCCAAGCCCACTTTTCGCTCTTCACAGACCACGTGAGAAAATCGAGCAAGGATATCAAATGAGTGGCGCAGGTGCTCATCACACACGTAGCAGAATCCTGGGCTGTGTTCGGGAAACCAGTCACTGTTGGTTGCTCAAGGAAAGCCGCATGGAGCGCTGATTCGTAAAGATTTCCATTATTGGATGAAACGAATCGGACCCTTCTTGACTTTCAGGTCGTTGATTACCATATTTACGTTTTTCAATCATATAGAATAATGTTATAATGTACAACATTATTTGATGAAACGTATCGGGCTCTTGGTGATTTTCAGAACGTTTATTACTACATTTACGTTTGTCGATCATATGGAATAATGTCATAATGCGCAAAAGTCATAAATCAGTAAAGCAGACTAGCAGGAAGTTACTCTACAACGACGGACAATGGAAGTTGGCTTTGAGGTGTGCGCAAAATGACATCGCCAGTTCTTCTCACTGATAAACTCGCGAGAAAATGAAAAAGATGCATGAGGAGGTTTCCGGACAACATGTGGCGTCTAGGAATGAAGCGACGTCGGATGATGGCGTAGTGTGACTTTAGTGGATCCTTTCTTTCTTGTACTGATTGACCGTTTGGTGCGTTTATAGTGGAAGACCGTACTTTACTTCTGTCGTGGCAATGAATTTATTTATCAAATGTGTAATCACCATCTGACTAAAAATCTTATTCTAACGCTACTGTTAATTTACTTTTTCCCTTTCTTTCCTCATCACAACATATTAGTTGACATCCTCTGGATATCATCCATAGCCCATCTCTACTCGCCCAAGGACATGCCAATAAGACAAAAACAGGCAGAGCTGACATAAAGAGCGGCGCACGTGACGTTACGTGATTCCCACCTGCCTGCTGAGCTGAACGTGATTCTCACCTGAGTGAAAGTTCCATTCCACTCCGTCACGCCCCTTTAAATCACAGTTTAAAGGTCACCACACATGCGCCGTAGCGAAATGTCCGCCATGTTGGATGGGTTCAGTGTTGATCACTTAGTATTTCACTTTCTCTGCTCCTGTATTTTGGTCTCGGCAAGTCGACAAGGTTTTCTCAAGGTCTAGGCTTTCCGACGCTCAACAAACAGTGAAGATGGATTGGTTGATGGGGTACGTACTTGATGATTTATTTATTTTCCTTCTCAATGAAGGCGATCGTTTTCAGGACATCCACAGCGGCTGCGAGTTTGAAGTCGTTCATAAAATTTTCTCCCATTCTTTAGTTCTTGCTCAAAACCAAGCAAAAATATTGTAAATGCCAGAAATTTTCTGGAACAGCTGCGTTGTTAGGTAGATACGTCAGAGGTCAGTGTCTAGGACGTTATCCTGCGCAATGTCGTCGGTATTTCAGCGATGTTGTGCAGTTGATGATATAGTAGAAGGGGAGGGCAGGAAACCAATTATATTTGTCTAAACTAAAGGCCAGACAAGCAAGGTGTAATTATGCCCGACCTGACCGCTCACACTGCTTCAATCATTGTTTACATCTGTACATTTCCTTCAGATCTGTTTATGCTTACATGTGTACAATTTGTACCCCTTGCAGCTGCAGGTGGCAGCGTTTGATATTCTTGATATCGTTTGCCTTTATTTATCAGCTTATTGCATAATTGTTAAAGTATTTGAATATATGATCGGAATATAGAAGTCAGGGTACAGTTTGTAGTCAAATGTTTCATTCCTCTTTAACTTCTGTCTTTCCACAGTCTATTTTACGGTATGTAATTCACTCTAAAGCTTCCATGAAAAGGTATGACTATGAGGGCAAGCTTTGTTGATAGATAATACAGATGTGATGGCTTGCACCGTTTCATACTGCACCTCAATTAAGGTGGTTACTGCAGTCACCGAAGTTCCGACTTCCAAGCATGGTATACCACATTGGAATATTCAGTCAATTTTAATTGTCAAAATTGGACTTCTCAATCAATGTCCTTGGACTTCTTTATTGCTTAAAATATTAGATTTAAAATGGTGATAAGTTTAGATGCCACCAGATGACCAGATACATCCCAATAGTGGGAAAGTAGCATACTTGTTCTAGGGATAAGTAGTCTTCGGTCCTGGAGGTGGAGTGTTTGAATATCTACCAGCTCACCCAGCTTGCATGCTAATGATGCTACTGAACAGGTTTACAATCCTTTGGGACGTTCTGTTACGTTCAGACTGAACACCTGTGTTTGAGAAGAGCTGCTCATTTCTTAAGCACAGTAAGTGTCACATTCGGCGACAGAATCTTTGACTAGACGAAGGCGGTCACCTAACAGAAAGAAGAAGATACATGTATGTTGTTCAATAACAAACTGAGGGCATGCGCAGTCTTGGGATAATCCTACATGTGTTCTGCTCAAATTCAGCTGTCTAGACTCTAGTTACTGAAAATATCTTAAATTCACAGCCTGATTGAAATTTTTACTGTATCAAAATTGTATGTATGATGACCTACCATGATTGCAACCCAGCCATTAGCAAGCCATCATATACTAGTAGATAAGAGGTAAGGGTACTGTCCAGAGTGAGTGGATCAGTCTCATATTATGTTACTGTCATGTCTTCAGTCAATTTACTGGTTATCTGATATTGATACAAACAAACAAAGTTCTGATAAAAGATTTTACTTAATCATTGTAGTAAGAGAAAATTACACTTGGCACAATTCATCATAATTAACCTTTTCTATAATGTTTAAAGCATAATCATAATGAACAGACTTACTAGTATTGTTCCCATAATTACATGTACAAAGTAGGTCACCATCAAAATAAGAGATTGTGTTACACTGTGTACAAGTGCACCAATAGGTATAATTCTGTTACCATCATTATAGCTATAGCTATTTCCTGACCACCGTGCTTTTGTGCATGTTCAAGAAGTCTATAGTTTATTTTCTAAAAAAATGTCAAAGTAACGATAACACCCATGACCAGTGTCTACGTGTCTACTTGTGTTTGTGCATTTTCCCTTTTCCATAGTTGGCATGGTTCCAGGTGCCATATACAGTTAGAACTTGTAGCTCATGTACGTCCTTAAAAAAGGCTTATGTTGCAGGCAAATGTCCTGATAATGTGATGTTAGAAATCTCTATAAGTATGTTTATGAAGCTATTCAGCATTGAAAGTAGCCTGAAAGTAGCTGATATTCTCTAACAAAGTGCTTATATAATTTTGGCATGATCAGGGTGTGTGCGTGCAACTCCCTTATAGCCCACTGCGGCTCCACCCATGCTACTATAAATCATGAAACTTTTGCGATGGTTTCATGTTCGCTGTTTTTGCAGTGTCCTCTCTACAACAAATCCATGACACTATATCAATAATGATCATGCATTTCTTGTATGACTACTGCACTACGGAATTGTTCTAGCTGCCAATTTAAAACATAAGTATTACACTGAAAGCCTCCCTTTCCCTCCCACTAGGAGGTAAAACCACTGCAAAAGTTTCACGATTTATGGTAGTCAAGAGAAGAAAGACATCAGATCCAGAACACAATGACGTCAAGCTTGCTGTAGATCAGTTGTAATTGACAAAATTGGTTACTGGGTGGGGTGGTCTTTCAGATGATATGTAACATGTTATTGTTATGAGCATTATAGAGAGTGTCAGTGTTAGTATCTCTCCCAGATTACAGGATCTAATACAAAAGAGGTTGATGAAAATAGTACAAATTATAAGCATTTTGTTTATGCTCCTATTTTTAATAAAACATAAAATCTAAGACTTCTCCTATGTGATAGGAGAAGGCCATCCCTTGCAAATTACGTACACAAGTGTGTTAAAATTCGTGTTAGTGAGAATTTGACCTTGACTGAAATAACCTTTCCAGTTGACAGCTTATCAAGCTCCTGATTCAACAACATGAT